CTCCCACTGCCGAGGCCGCGCCCCCCGCCTCTGCTGCCACCATAGCCGCAGCGGCCGCCACCGCCGTCGTAGCCCCAACCTCGACGGTCGCCGTGGCCCCTGTCGCGTCTGCCTTGGAGAAGAAGACAAAGAGTAAGGGGCCCTACATCTGTGCTCTGTGCGCCAAGGAGTTCAAGAACGGCTACAATCTCCGGAGGCACGAAGCCATCCACACAGGAGCCAAGGCCGGCCGGGTCCCCTCGGGTGCTATGAAGATGCCCACTATGGTGCCCCTGAGCCTCCTGAGTGTGCCCCAGCTGAGCGGGGCCGGCGGGGGAGGGGGAGAGGCTGGTGCCGGCGGCGGCGCGGCCGCAGTGGCAGCCGGTGGCGTGGTGACCACGACCGCCTCGGGAAAGCGCATCCGGAAGAACCACGCCTGCGAGATGTGCGGCAAGGCCTTCCGCGACGTCTACCACCTGAACCGACACAAGCTGTCGCACTCGGACGAGAAGCCCTACCAGTGCCCCGTGTGCCAGCAGCGCTTCAAGCGCAAGGACCGCATGAGCTACCACGTGCGCTCACATGACGGCGCTGTGCACAAGCCCTACAACTGCTCCCACTGTGGCAAGAGCTTCTCCCGGTGTGCACGGGGCCTCGGCCGCCCGCTGGGCCGGTGGGGAGGGAGGGACGGCCGCGGAGGTGGCCAGGCCAAGGCTGGCAGGGAGGGAGGAGGCTCTGAGGATGGGGCAGGGTAGCCCCTCCCTGGGAGGAGGGAGGAAAGCCTCTCCCGGTTTCCAGGGAGTAGGGGGTGGGACTCTGCAGAGGAGGTGGGTCTCGGGGCTGACTGAAAGCTTCGTGTGGGAGGAGGCGGCGGCAGCCGGCTCGAGGGGAGGGATTTCCTGCTCGAGTGGCACCGTGAAGGCCCGGGCTCCGGGAGAAAACGCAGGGGCTCTGGCAAGGCCGTTGGACAGAGTTTGGCAGATTTGGGGCACATCTCCTCAGCCCTAACCCCAACTCCAACGTGTCCCCAGGCCGGATCACCTCAACAGTCACGTCAGACAAGTGCACTCAACAGAACGGCCCTTCAAATGTGAGGTAGGAAGTCCGCCTCCTCCTGTCCTGGTTTTCATGATGTTGATCCTCATTGTAGCTGTCTGAGTTCAGCCTCTCAGACCCCCTTTTTCTCTCTCTTCTTTTTGCCTTTTCACTCCATTTTCTCATCCCTTCTTCTTCAAGGCCTCGTCATCTCACTCCCATTTCCTACAGATCAAAGATCCCCAAGGCTCTGATTCCTTTAACCTCTTGCTCCCCGCTCCCCACTCCCCGAAGCTTTAACTCTCCTGTGACACCCCCCACGCCCCTCCCCCCTCCCCAGAAATGTGAGGCAGCTTTTGCTACGAAGGATCGACTCCGGGCGCACACAGTACGACACGAGGAGAAGGTGCCATGTCATGTGTGTGGCAAGATGCTGAGCTCGGCTTATATTTCGGACCACATGAAGGTGCACAGCCAGGGCCCTCACCATGTCTGTGAGCTCTGCAACAAAGGTACATGTTGAGGACTGCCGAGAGGGCAGGGACCAGGGTGGGCACCAGCCAGAGGTCTTTCCACAGTTGCGGGTTAAGGGTGCTGTAGCCAAGAGCTCGTGGCATCTAGAGCCTTTTGGGAGGTAAACACAGCAGAACTGAGAACAACTGAACATCACTAAATTCTAAGAAGTCACAGCCAGAGGAGAAGGTCTATCAGAAAGATTGAACCTTTTGGGTGTGCATGGGACAACAGGAGTGGGGCACAGCTGCTTTGGGGAAGGGAATAGTCAAGAAAGCCAGTTCCCAAGACTCAGGAGGCTAGGTTTCAGCTGTGCAGCCACAAGTTCTTGTCTCCAGCTCCTGGGGCAAATGGAGTGCCTTGGCAGGGGGTTAGCAAGCAAGCAGCCTGCCCCAGTAGCAGACAAAGCTGCTTTTAAACAGGCTCACATATTCACTGAGTAACTGGGCTGAGACTCTGGGGCACTGGAGGGAGGGGACACAGCCGGCTCTGCTGAGGGTCAACCCTTCAAGGGGCTAGGAATCAGTGTCCTGTCATCCCAGGTAAGATCTCCCAGCTGTGGAGACAGAGCTTTGTAGGTACCAAGGCTGAGAAGCAGACACCACTCAAACCCGGCCCCACCTCAGGGAGGGGCTGTGTCCCCAACCTGCCCCAGCAGAGTAGTTGGCCCCAAGCTACCAAGGATGTGGGAGGAGGACAGGGCCATTTGAGGAGGGTGTCCCCAGCCTAGGAGAACAGCCCCGTCTCTGGGGTCTCCGCCTGGCTGACCCCATCCCCATCCACCCCCCAATAGGCTTCACCACGGCAGCATACCTGCGCATCCACGCGGTGAAGGACCATGGGCTCCAGGCCCCGCGGGCTGACCGCATCCTGTGCAAGCTGTGCAGCGTGCACTGCAAGACCCCTGCCCAGCTGGCCGGCCACATGCAGACCCATCTGGGGGGGGCCGCCCCCCCTGTCCCGGGAGACGCCCCCCAGCCACAGCCCACCTGCTGAGGGGGATCCCTGCACCCACCAGGCAAGGCGTGGGGCATGGCTGGGGGGCGGGATGGGGTATGTGGGTTAAGGGGGCTCAAAGGGCCCAATAGGGGATCTCAGGAAGGCCAGGGATGCCCATCTATCACTCAGCTTAAGGGACAGGGAGGGCCCTTCAGGAGAACTCTGACTAGGGATGCAGGCCAAAGCCTCTGGGAATCACATTAGAATTGAGCAACGGCTGTGTCCCAGGGGAAGTAGTTTGGGAAGGAGTCTGGGGTAAGGGGCAAGGCTCTTGCCATTCAGATTGCGCTGTGATCTCGTGTTTCTCCCGGTGCAGGTACTGGTGAAGTTTGTCCAATGGCAGCAGCAGCAGCGGCGGCAGCGGCAGCAGCAGCGGCAGCGGCAGCAGCAGCAGTGGCAGCCCCTCCCACAGCTGTGGGCTCCCTCTCTGGGGCTGAGGGGGTGCCTGTGAGCTCTCAGCCACTTCCCTCCCAGCCCTGGTGAGCTCCAAGTTGGTGGGGGAGAGGGGAGAGTGGAGGAAAGTCCCTTGGTACAGTCTCCTCTTCCCCCTCTTTTCTCATCGGTTCCTCACTACTTCCCCCACCAACCAAGGAGCCTCCAGAAGAAAAGGAGGAAGAAATGTTTTCTTAGGGGAATTCACTAGGTTTTAACGATTTGTTTCTTCTGCTCCTCTCCTCCTATCAGACCTGACCCCCCACACACACCATTCCCTCGGTTGTGTTGTCCCCTGGACAGTGGGCAGGGGTGGCAGAGGACAGGAGCAGCCACTGCCCTTACTCCCTCTCCTCTCTGTAACCCCGGCCCTGTCCTCCTAGGGATTCATGAGCCTTTTCCTTCAATGGTCCCCTTGGCCTCCTTCAGCACCCCCCCCCTCCACTGTCTGCTGCCCCTCTCTGGGGAGTTGGTGCTTTCTTTTTTTCTTTTTTTCTTTTTTTTTTCCCAGGGGGAGGGAGGAGAGGAAGGAGGGGAATCAAAGACTCTGTCCTAGAGAGAGAAGGAGGTGAGGTGAGATTTGAGACCAGGCAGAAGCAAGGGAGGCAGAGGCTATACCTTCATAACATGGGGTTGTTTGGGGTGAAGCCCTAAACATCCTACTTGAGAATCTGTCAGGGGGAAAAGTCAAGGGGAGCAAATGAAGGAGCCAGGAGGGGCCAGAGGCAGAACAAGAAATGGAATCTTAGGGGGCCCGGGGAAATGTGGGGATCCAGGGACTAGAGGTGCTTCCCGGGGGTTGGGGGAATGCAGCCACAGTGTCTCCCCCTTCCCTCTTCCACCCCAGCTCCAGCCCTGGTCTTTTCTTTTCATCCCTCTTCCCCACGACAGAAGCTCTGGCCCTGGCCATGTCATCGTGTTCCTGTGTCCCCTGCATGTTTCCCACCCTCCGCCCCCTCCTTTTGCGCGGACCCCATTACAATAAATTTTAAATAAAACCTGTCTCTGGCTCTGGGTTGAGTGAATTGCCCTCACCTAGCCCCTTGTCCCTACCACCAAGGAATTTATTCCTGGCATGGTGTCTGTCCCCTCCTTGCTCTAGCTAGTGTAGCTCTGGGGCTCTGGCTCCTCTCTTCTCAGGGGCAGCCCTAGTCGCTGCAGCACAGATGTAGGGTGGGGCTGAGGCTCCAGTGGCTGTGGAGAGCAAGTTCCAGGACTCCCAGGTCTTGGGGAATACCCAACCCCGACAGGCCCAGAATAGCCACTGGAGGTTTGACAAACCCAGCTAGAAACCCAAACAGCTGCTGCTCTCCCCCGTCCACATCCACACCCACAGCTGCTGTGCAGAACCCCCGCCGGATACCTGCACACCCTCAGGCCCTGAACGGTGGTGGCTGACGAAGCGGCTGCAGAAAGGCTGGGGGAGTCTGAGCCCTGGGACTGGGAGCAGTAAGGTGGCGATGAGAAGCTGCACTTGCTCCCCTCATTCTTGGCATGGTCCGCCCTGTGTTTACACCGGCTTGTCTGCCCCAGCCCCTTCCTGCTGCTCCAGGCTGTCCCTGCAGCGGCTGCTTGCCCCTTAGAATTGCCTTTCCTTTTCTTGCTCTGTCCTTTCCAGGGATTGTTTCTTGAGCCTTCCAGTACCCATTTCTGCTGCTGCTTTCTTGGGGCTGGGGAGACCTGTTCTGCAGGGTCCCTTCTCTGAAGCCGCACCCTGCTTCTCTGCAGCCTCCTCGCATTTTGCCCCATCTCCCTCGCCCTCTTTCTGCTTGTACGGGCGCCTTCACGCTGTCCAGCCTGCCTCACTGGTCCTGTCTCTCCACGCAGACCCCTCTCCGTTTTCCCCAACACCCTGTCTCTGCCAGGACCCCCGGTGACCGTTGGCGGGAGGGGCCGGGGACTTAGGAAGGGGGCGCCCCGCAAGGAGGCGCGCGTGGGAAGGGGCAGGGAGGGGGCCCAAGTGGTCCCCGGACTGGTTGCCTGGGTAACGCGTGGCTCCCTTGGGCTGGCCGGGAGGGGCCAGAAGCTTGCAAGGGGCGGGGGCGGCGCGCACGGCGGTGGAACGTAGGGGAGGATCAGAGAGGAGGGGATGAGCAAACCAGAGTGGAGAGGTGGGGAGACCCGCCGCCTCCCTCCTTTGCTCGCTCGCTGACTTGCTCCCTCCCGGGCTGCGGCTGCTGCAGCGGCAGCAGGAGAGGTCCGGAGGACAGCGTCGAGGTGAGACAGGGACCGACTGAGGCTGCGGGTAGGAGTGGACCGACGGCCGACGCCGGGCGGGTTGCACGGGAATGCGGGCGCCTGGCGGACTGGCTGGTGGTGCTGAGCACGCAGCACCATTGGGAGGAGGAGGTGCCGGCACAGCGAGGGCGAGGAAAACCCTGGAAGAGGGGCTGAGAAGGGGCTCGGAAGAGATAACCAGGTCCCCTGGAGAGGGGCGGGGGTGTCCGCACCCCAAATGCGCAGCAAGAAAACCGGCACCGCCTGGGCCCGGGAGGAGGGGAGGATGCGGAGAGGGTGGAATGCGTCCTCTGCCCTGGTCTGCCTGTCTGTCGGAGTGTCTGGGGGTCTGCACAGCTTGTTGATTTGGGGGTGCTGGGCCATCTGCTGGGATCTGAGAGTCTAGCTCTGTTGGGTGGACACAGGAAAGAACCCTGGTCCTGTTTACAAAGGGTTAATCTTCCCTAGGGCTCTCCAAGCTGAAGACTTTATGAGTAGAGCACTTCTCCCCCAGGGATGTCCCACCCAAAGCAAAGGAAACCCCAACTTTTCGTCCTGTCCTCAGAGGCAGCCCAAAGCTGGCCTGAGACAGGAGCCTGGCCCTCTGGGGCCTACAGTTTTTTGAAGCCCCTCTGCCCTCTCCTCACACCAAGTCTATCTCCTCCTCTTCCAGGGTTTGCTGCTGTCTCTATTATTCCATCCTCCCCCCAGGGGCCCTTACCCCTCTCAAGATGGCAGGCAGCAACGCTGAGGTCTCCGAGATGAAGTGGGTTGAGGAGAGTCCTGAGACCCAGGGAGAAGGGCCTGGCCATTCTGAAACTGGAACTAGCCCTCTCCAGGTCCTAGCAGGGGACCCACACCAGCCAGAGGCCCTGGAGCCAGGCTCAGACAACACTGGGACCTCTGTGGACTCAGGGCCTAAGTCTGGGCTGGCTCCAGAAACCACAGAGACCCCGGCTGGGGCCCCAGAAACAGCCCAGGCCACAGATCTCAGTTTAAGCCCAGGAGGGGAATCAAAGGCCAACTGCAACCCCAAAGAAGCATGCCAAGAGCCATCATCCAAGCCAGAAGTGAGTGAAGAGGCCACTGCAGACCAGAGGGCCCAGCTGGAGTCTGCAGCCCTGCCTGAACCAGCCTCAGCGCCTGCTCCCCAGCTAGACCCCCAGCCAGAGCCCCAGCCAGGTTCCCAGCCCACCCCCAAGCCAGCTCCCCAACCAGAGCCCCCTACCCAGGAGGACCCCACCCCTGAGGTCCTGACTGAGAGGGTAGAGGAAAAGCAAGAGAATGGGGCAGTGGTCCCACTGCAGGCTGGTGATGGTGAAGTGGTCCCAGCCCCCCAGCCTCACTTGCCACCATCAACAAAATCCCCCCCAGCCAATGGGGCTCCCCCCCGAGTGCTGCAGCAGCTGGTTGAAGAGGATCGAATAGGAAGGGCTCACAGTGGGCGTCCAGGATCTCCCAGAGGTAGCCTGAGCCGCCACCCCAGCTCCCAGCTGGCGGGGTCTGGAGTGGAGGGGGGTGAAGGCACCCAGAAACCTCGGGACTACATCATCCTTGCCATCTTATCCTGCTTCTGCCCCATGTGGCCTGTCAACATCGTGGCCTTCGCTTATGCCGTCATGGTGAGCCCCATGGGACCCTGGCCCAGGCTTGCTGTGGCTCCCAGCTTCCCACCAGCACTAGGACAGAACCCCAGAAGTAACCATGCCTTCTGTCCCCTCGTTCCCTCTCTGCATGGATTTCACTTCCCCAATTACAGGGTCTTTGCTGGCCTCTCCCTAGAACCTACCCTTTGAGCCACCACTGCCCTGCCCTTTGGGTGGGAGGGATATGGAGACGAAGGTTTCACACAGCCTGGCTGACCTGTGCCTTCCTCCCCCTGCCTCTCCAATGCTCCTTCCTCCTTTAACCACTATCTGTGGGTCTGGCCTCTCTCTTCTGGACGACTTTCACCTGATCCTTGCTCGGCTGGGTTCTCCTGACCCCGGCCATGGTGCCTCCACCCAGTCACGGAACAGCCTGCAGCAGGGAGATGTGGACGGGGCCCAGCGTCTGGGCCGAGTGGCCAAGCTCTTAAGCATCGTGGCGCTGGTTGGGGGGGTCCTCATCATCATCGCCTCCTGCGTCATCAACTTGGGCGGTGAGTGGGGTTTGGGGATAGGCAGGGGAGGAATGGAAGGGTTGACAAGGGCAGCTTTACTAACCCCTGCCCCTGCTCTCTCCTGTCTGTCCTTACCTCTCCTTTGTCTCTCCTTGTCTTGCCCCACCCTCCTCCCCTGTCTCTGTCTGCCCTTCCCTCTCCTCTCCCACAGTGTATAAGTGAGGGGCTCTGCCCTGCATTCCAAGACTTTCCTTCCTGTTGGGAGCTGCCTTGGGCCCATCCCTCTCCTGGGGGGACCCCAATTGATGGCTCTGGCCCCCACCCGTAGGGACCAAGGGAGCCTGAGCAGCCTTGTTTACAGCTTCTTTCCTGCTTCTGCACCCTGCCAGGCTCCTCTGCCAACTGTAGGCCTCCCTTCTCCCTGCACTGTTTCCAACCTTCCTGCACTTCTGCCTGCATCCCCTCTAGCCTCTTGGTCCCCCATCCCTGCACTTCTGGAAACCTCCTTGCACTTCTGGAAACCTCCCTGAACATTTCCCAAACTCTCTGCGCTCCCAGCTTCCCTGCACCTCTCCCGGCCTCTCCCTGCATTCTTCCAGCCTCCTGAATTCTCTGGAACTCAACCCTGGCCTCCTCCTCCCAACTTTCATTGTCTTGGCATCTTTCCCATTCCTTCCTTCATTCCCTTTATCATCTCCCTCTTCCTTCTCCACAGGCCCCGCCCCCTTCATCTCCCCTTAGCATCCTCTTCTCCAGCCTCCTGCCATCGTTTATTCTGCAAAAACTCCAGCACTTAGATCAGGCTGGGTGAGGGGGAGTAGTCTTGGAGGGGGCTTTCTAGCCCTGGGCTCCGACTGTTCTCTGTTGGGACCACCCAGGCCCTGACGCCCCCAGGGTGTCTTGCGGGTTTCAAAGCTGGCAAGCCAGGCCTTGTCTGGGGATTTGTGCCAGGGTGGCCAGTACTGGTTCCTAACGTGCACAGGGGAGAAGTGAGGGGCGCTGCGGTTGACCCTTGCCTGGTCAGCCTTAGTTGACCCTCCCCCACCTGGGCTTTTTAACCCCGGCCACTGACTGAGTTTCTTTCTCCAAGGTGTTGAGGTTAGGGCAATTCATGTGCTTTGTAAGGAAAGAATCCAAAAAAATAGGACCAAAGCTCCCAGCTGCAGGGAGCGAAGGAGGGGCGGGGAGCTCTATAATTATTTTCTAAGATGACGAGGGAGGTTTGTTGCACGCGACAGCCCGCAGAGTAGGCGGGGACCCAGCTACAAGGAGATTCCGAGTTGGCGGGTTGTTTTTTTTTCCTAAAAAAAGGTTGGGGGAAAAAACTAAAATTCTTTTTTAAAAGGATATATCAAACTGATTTCTCCCTTTTTGTATGCCGGATGCTGCATGAGTCTGAAACACCAATAAACGGAGACTGCATGAGACTCGCCTCCGGTCTCAGTCCCTGCGTTCGTCCCGCCAGGCCGGCGGTACTGCCTCTCTTCCGGCAGAACCTTCTGGGTGGTATATACGCATGCGCAGTCCCGGTGGCCATCTTTGCTGTGGGCCGAATCCTGTTATGCCCAAGCGCCTATCTGCGCATGTGCAAGCCTTCCCTCGCTTTCCTCTTCCAAGTAGCTTTGAGTAGAGCGGAGCCTCACGCGCCATTTCTGTGCGCCTGCGTATTGTGACCTACGCAGCCCGAGAGGCGGGTCTTAGCTCCTGGTGCGTACGGCCGCTGGCTTGAAGCGGCCCGGAAGTACGAGGTCTGGGGAGAGGTAGCTGCGTTCAGATGTGGAGACGGGTGATGTGAAGGCGAGAAGAGTGGGACTGCCTCTCCTTCCCCTACTTGGCTCGGAAAGTGGTGTCTGCGGGCCCCGGGAACACCGGAGTACCAGATCTCAATCCTTGGGGCGGGGTCCTTTGAGGGGACTGAGCGCCCCCTCCTGGGGACGGGCTGTCTGGCCTCGGAGACAGCTGTTGGAGCCCTATTGGATACGGAGACATTCCCTAAACCCCTGGGGAGCCTGATTGCTTGTGGGGAGGGACCCGGCTTAGTATTCCAGCATCTCCTGTCATCGCAGGGTCCCTTCCCTAGTGGTCTATGTCCCTTGCTCGGGGTCATGGAGACACTGCGGCCACCACGGCAGCGCCTCTGTCTGAAGAAGGGGAAGTGACCTCCGGTCTCCAGGCTCTGGCGGTGGAGGATACCGGAGGCCCCTCTGCCTCGGCCAATAAGGCCGAGGAAGAGGGGGAAGGAGGCCAGGAGGAGACCGAGCGAGAGGGGTCCGGGGCCGAGGATGTGCAGGGAGAAGTCCCCAGCGCTGGGGGGGAAGAGCATGCCGTGGGAGAATCCGAGGACTGGTGCGTGCCCTGCAGCGATGAGGAGGTGGAGCTGCCCGCCAATGGGCAGTCCTGGATGCCTCCGCCCTCAGAAATCCAGCGGCTCTATGAACTGCTGGCTGCTCATGGAACGCTGGAGCTTCAGGCTGAGATCCTGCCCCGCCGGCCGCCCACGCCCGAGGCCCAAAGTGAAGAGGAGAGATCCGATGAGGAGCCGGAAGCCAAAGAAGAGGAAGAGGAAAAGTGAGGCACACCCTTACACCTTGTCCCTGGGGCTACTCCCCTGATACCAGAAGGAAATGGGGAGGCAAAGAGGTGGGACCCAGTAGCAAGGAGAGGGAAGGGAGGGAAGGGGACCAGGAGACGAAGAGGTGGCAGGCTGGGGAGAAGCACCTGTGGGGGTGTTTGAGAGGGTCACCTTCACCCTTCTCTTTATGTCCACCTGTCCCAGACCACACATGCCCACAGAATTTGACTTTGATGACGAGCCAATGACACCAAAGGACTCCCTGATTGACCGGAGACGTACCCCAGGTACAAACAAAGGGGAAAAGCTGGGGGAGGTGAAGGGCCCTTGCTCCCAGTTACCAAAAAAATGGCTCCCTTAAAGAGGCCTTTGCTTGGCGCCTCACTTGCCACACAATGTTTAGGTGCAGGAGAAAGCATTTACCCAGTGGCACCATCTTTCTGACTCAGATTAACACTCTATCTTCTTTTAGGAGACCATCACAGATAATTCTTTCATGCTTCCCATTTCTTTTATCATATTCTCCCCAGAAATCCAAGTCCTCCTGGTCATTCATTATTAGCTAGATACACATCCCTCTACTAGTATGTAGTTCTCCTATCTGATTCAATTTTCAACCCATATGCCTTCCTAGATTTACCCTTGGAGCCATTCTTTTTTTTTTTTTTTTTTGAGATGGGGTCTTGCTGTGTTGTCCAGGTTGGTCTCAAACTCCTGGGCTCAAGCAGTTCTCCCATCTCAGCCTCCTGAGTAGCTGGGATTGCAGGTGCGTGCTGAGACACCCAGCTAGCCTTGGAGCCATTCTTGATTTCTCTTTCTTTTACTCCAGCATTCATACCAGCAGCAAGTCCCTCACTAGCTCTGCCTCCACATTTCTAAGTTCATCTGTGACTCTCTATTTTTAACACCATACCCGAATTCAAGCCACCATCTCTCTTGCCTGGACAGTTGCAGTAGCTCTTAACTGATCTCCCTGCTTCCTGTCTCAGCAATCAGAATGATCCTTTTAAAACATAAATCATGTCACTTCTCCACTTAAAATCCTCCAAAGGATTCCATTGTTCCGGGGAAGAGCACATCATGGGAGAATCCAAGCCCCTCCTTCCCATCCCTCCACCTCCACAGCTCTCTACACTCTTGTTTTTTACTTATTTATTTTTGTGAGGATGCATGCTATGTTTGAGACCCAGGTTGGTCTCAGACTCTTGGACATTGAATGATCCTCCTGCCTCCCAAAGTGCTGGGATTGCCAGCTTGAGCCACCGTGCCTGGCCTACATTCTTCTTTGATCTGACCTCTCTGTTCCTGCCCTGGGGCCTTTGCACTTGCTCTTTTCAGGTCTTCATATGGCTGGTGCCCCATAATCTAAGACCTTCACTCTTTACTCTGTGACCCAACCCCAAACCTCAGAACCTACAGGACAGAGGCCTGGGAACTTGTATGTTTAACAAATTCCTCATGTGATGAGTAAGATCCAGGGAGGTCTTGTGCACACTGCCTCAATCCCTTCCATATTCCTTACCTTCCCCTTCTCCAGGAAGCTCAGCCCGGAGCCAGAAACGAGAGGCCCGTCTGGACAAGGTCCTTTCAGACATGAAGCGACATAAGAAGCTGGAGGAACAGATCCTTCGTACTGGGAGGGACCTCTTCAGCCTAGACTCAGAGGACCCCAACTCCACCAGCCCCCAACTCCGGTCCTCTGGGAGTAGTCTCTTTCCCCGGCAGCGGAAATACTGACTGCTACTGCTGCCTCTAGGTGTACTGTTTGTACCTGGGCCCTCCTTTCCTAACACAGAATGCTGGGAAACTTGGGAAGAAGAGAGAAACCCCAAGTTCCTGGCACAGCACCACGTGGGAAAGAGGGAGTGTGTGTGTGTGTGTTTTCTGTTGAACTTCTAATCAGAGACCTGGACTGAGTTTTCTGAGTCTAAAATAAAAGATGCAGAGTTATTTTCTCTTAAGAGGAGGGCCTATAACTGGAGCGTAAACAGATTGGCCACAGTTGAGAGGAGAGGCAGATTGTACAGATTGTATTCACCCCGATTGGAAAATCAAAGCCAGATGGGGCAGGGATGAACTCGGCACTTGTCCCCCGCACCCCCATTTCACCCCCTCTGACCCTTACCAGTCGCATTCCAGCTCAGCTGGCTCTGAGGCAGAAACTCTAAGTGGATTGAGCCTTGGTGCCTTCGGCTGCAGCAGAAGCAGCCAGGAGGAGAAAATGAGAAGCAGCTGCAAGGGCCCTTTAACTACCTAAGCCCCACCCCCGGCCTGCCCAGCCCGGCCCAGCCCTGCCGGGAAGTGATCCCCAGTGCTGGGCCAGAGAGTTCCCCGGTCTGAGGAGCCTGCAGCTAGCCGCAGTTTTAGATGTGAGTACGTCATACTGGCCCCCAAAGTCCAAACCTGTGGCGAATCTTTGTGCCCCTCCAGGCTCTCTTGAGCTTTGTCCTGCTTTTTAGGGCCTTGTTTCTGCTGAGGGAGGAAAGAGCTCTCTCTGAATCAGAGGGGAAAGGAGGGGTAGAGGCTTTGCCTTGGGAGGTTTCACTTTCCTTGTTGGAGTTTTCTGGCTCTTAAAGCAAAGGTAGATGAACTCAACAGCACTCCCTTCCCACCTCCAGATCTCGGTTCTCTCTCTGACTTCAGGGACCCACATCTGCAGTAAGGTGGGGGACTTTACAGCATCCACTCACACTCTGTCTTGAAGCTTGGTTGGTCCTTGCTGTGTTCACCCGCCCCCTCCTCCTGGGGACCTGGGCTCTGACCTGTCACCTTGAGCACCTAAAATATGCCTTGTCCCCATTAAAACTTCTAAACTCTACCAACTGGTGAGGCCCCACCCAGGGCCGTGTGAACTGAGGGCCTTGGGAGATCACTTAAGTCATGAGAATGATCTTAATGTTGATGTGATTTCCAGAAGGCATGGAGTTTAGATAAGTTTCTTTCTTTTTAGGAGAAGGAAGTGAAAAATAGGAACTCAGTTGGACCCACTATTCTGTGACCCTGGGACTCCTAGAGCTGTCACTCCAAAGTGAAGCACTTGGGGGTGGGGAATGGTAGCTGAGGCGCATGTCCCCTGTGCTGTGCCTCCTGCTTGAGTGGACCCCTGTGTTATGGGGGAAAGGCAGCTGTTATGTGGGATGCCCGGCTGGAAACTCCCGGAAACTTGTTGGTTTCTGCCTTTGCCACACAGGGCACCGAGCCAGCCTGGGGTGGGGCTCTTTGGGTGGGACCGCTTTTCATAGCCATGACCAGGTGAGGCCTTTGAGTGGATGGCCTGGAGATAGCCTGAGGGCTCCAAGGTGATGACAGGGTACTCAGGCTTCCTTGCTGGGTGCTACAATTCTGAGTTCTGGGGAAACAGAGGGTGGGCACTGGCCCAGATTATAGAAAACTCACCCTTGAACTGCCTTAGGCACTATCTCCAGGCCAGTAATCAGCCTCATCCAGATCCTTAAGTCCTTGTTCTAAGTTCAGAGTCTTCCTGATGTTTCTACCTGAAAAGCCACTGTTTTCTGGTTTGGGGGGCTCTGCAGTCACAGCAGCCAGGGTGGAATTCTGGCTTCATCCTTTGAAAACCTGTGATCCTGAGCAAGTTCCTTAACTTCTAGGTTCTTGTGAGGATAAAATGAGTTAATTGAGGGCACTTAACACAATGCCTGGCACAGATTAAGTTCATAGTAAGTAGGAGCTGTTGTTTGTGGTCACTTGCCCAAAATACAAGTTGCAGAGTGTCTCTGCTGGAAACCTTGACCCAGTGGGTCTGGAGTGAGGCCTGGGAGACAGCTTGAGCAGGATTAGGAATCCCAGCTGAGTCCTACGATTGGCAGAGTTTAGGAAACACTGATGTAGATCCGGGGTCCTGAAGCCTGGTTCCCGGGTCACTTCCAGTCCAGGCAGTCCTCGCCTTTGATGATTGGCATTAAGTGGCAGCATCCGCAGGGAGGATGAGCCAAGTCCTGGGCTTGAGATGCTGCCCCCTCGAGGCCACCACGATGCCCCCCTCCCACCAAGTAGCCCAGTTTGGCTGGAGCTCAGACAAGATTTTCTTAGGAAGAAAGTGTCACCAAAAAAAAGTGTTTTAGGCCAGGCGTGGTGGCTTACGCCTGTAATCCTAGCACTCTAGGAGGCCAAGGCGGGCAGATTGCTCGATGTCAGGAGTTAGAAACCAGCCTGAGCAAGAGCAAGACCCCATCTCTACTATAAATAGAAATTAATTGGCCAATTAATATATATAGAAAAAATTAGCCGGGCATGGTGTTGCATGCCTGTAGTCCCAGCTACTCGGGAGGCTGAGGCAGGAGGATTGCTTGAGCCCAGGAGTTTGAGGTTGCTGTGAGCTAGGCTGATGCCACGGCACTCACTCTAGCCTGGGCAACAAAGCGAGACTGTCTCAAAAAAAAAAAAAAAAAAAAAAGTATTTTATGTGAGACAAACATAAACCTGGAAGCTGCGGGGTGAAAAACAGGCTGTGGGCAGTTCCTGAATTATGTGACTCTCCGTTCTCTAAACAAAGACTGGAATGTTTAACCTAAAATCAGTGAAGGAAAATGCCGCAAAGACGAGTCCCTGTGATACCGAACTTCATAGCCTTTTCCTAAGCCCGAGGTTGGCACAGGTCTGGTGAGGGGTCTTCGTCACTAACCTCACCTCCACACCAGGCCTGCCTGAACCAGGAGTGAGGACACAGAGGGCTGGTTTGGCCTGGGGAGGGGGCAGGAGGAGAATACATGAAATTCCCTGCACTGAGGGGTCATCTGTAATCGGAGTGCATCTTTATTCTTCCTCCTCCTGGCTACCATATGAGCTCTTTTGACTTTAGAAACAGGAAACAGGCTTATAGCCAGTAACATGCTCACAATGATGCTGACAGTGACAGAAACTGCTGGATTGACACTTTCCCCACTGGCTCTCAATCCTGGCTATGTCTTGGCATCAGAGGGAGAGTTTTTAAAAATAGCAATGCTGGGACCCCACCCCAGGCCAATCAAATCAGAATTGCCAGAGGTGAGTGGCTTAAAAAATAATCTCCCAGTGACTCTAATGTTCAGATGGGGTTGGGAGCGTCTGATTTAGACCAGAGCTGCTTATATTTCAGTGTGTGCTCAGATTATTGGGCATCTAGTTAAAATGATGTTTGAGCTGGTGGTTCTTGCCTTGTAATCCTAGTGCTTTGGGAGGCTAAGGTGGCAGGATTGCTCGAGCCTAGAAATTTCAAACCAGCCTGGGCAACATAGCAAGACCTTGTTTCTACAAAAATAAAAATATTGGCCAAGTGCAGTGGCATGCACCTATAGTCCCACAGCTACTTGGAAGGCTAAGGCAGGAGGATCACTTGAGCCCAGGAGTTTGGGGCTGCAGTGAGCTATGACTGTGCCACTGTACTCCAGCTTGGGTGACAAAGTGGGACTCTAGCTCAAAAAAAAAAAAAAAAAGCTTATTGATTCAGCAGCTCTGGGATGGGGCCCAAAGTCTTGGATTATTATTATTATTATTATTATTTGAGACAGAGTCTCGCATTATTATTATTATTATTTGAGACAGAGTCTCGCTTTGTTGCCCAGGCTAGAATGAGTGCCGTGGCGTCAGCCTAGCTCACAGCAACCTCAAACTCCTGGGCTCAAGTGATCCTGCTGCCTCAGCCTCACAAGTAGCTGGGACTACAGGCATGTGCCACCATGCCCGGCTAATTTTTTTTTTCTGTATATATATTAGTTGTCCAATTAATTTCTTTCTATTTATAGTAGAGACAGGGTCTCGCTCTTGCTCAGGCTGGTTTTGAACTCCTGACCTCAAGCAATCCACCCACCTTGGCCTCCCATAGTCCTAGGATTACAGGCGTGAGCCACCGCACCCGGCCCAAGACTGCATTATTAACAAGCTCTGGGCGGTGCCGTGCTGCTCACTGCCGACCACATACGCAACATGGTCACTTTGGCATTTGCTATATAAGAGTCACTGTATTAGCCACTCAATTGATCCTGAAGATATGTAATGATTTATGACTCATTTGTTTATTAATTTTGGCTGTAGTGTAAATTTTACTTTTGAGTCAAGAGTCTAGAATCAAGAGCCTCTCCTCAAACTAGAGGGTGAACCCAGCTTCTGTTTGGACAGGCAGTTAAGTTCTCTTTCCAGCCTCCTTCTTAGGGGGAGGGGCACACTGGTGAGACTTTGGGTGAAAGTTGGTGGTTCTTAAAGGAGCCTCTTGACATTTGAAGGAGCTGTGATCAGACAAGATGGGGTGTATATGCCGACTGCTGACTAGGGCACAGATCTCAGAAGCAGGAACTAAAGAGAGTTGGTGGGTGGGTGAGTGAATTTGAAGAATCGAGACCAAACCTGAGGGCTGTGCAGGACTTTACAAAGGTCAACACCATCCTTAACCATTATCTTTTGAGATGAGGGAAGAGGAAGGGCTACGGCTGGTCCTGCCATATTGGAAGTAAAACGCTCTAACTGTGCACATCACCTGAAAACCACAAAAGTCTAAATCTGGGACTTGTCACACAACACACTGCCTGAGTCAGATGGTTTCCCTGGCTCACCTCCGTGGATGGCAGGAGTGGAAAGGCAGGACCTGTTCTGGGTGAACTTGGCAGGTCTAGGCGGAAGGCCCAGTGCTAGGGCCTGGCAGGTGGGTGGTCAGGGAGATAAAACGGGCCTGGTTCTGAAGCAGACACAGTTGGCAAGGGCTTGGCCTCAGAGCAGGGCAGGAGCCCCGCCATGAGGATGACTCTCACTGAGTCACCAAGCTGGGTCCAGCTGGGGTGGCAGATGGTGGAGAGGCCTCAGCAGTGGGGGGGGCGGGCGGCAGAGATCATCCAACGAGGAGCCAATGGAGGCTGTTCCTGGAGCCTTGTGTGGCCTTCGAGAGTTTGGTGTTCCCTGTGGGGCCTTAGAGCCCTGTCCATGCCTCCGCCTGCAGCCCGAGCCCTTCCTCTTCCCCCATCTGGTTTCCTGG